ATTCTAATAGTCAAAAATTGAAAATAAGCCAGTAGTTCAAGACCAGCCTGAGCAACACAGCAAGATCCTGTCTCTACAAAAAATATGAATATTAGCCAAGTGCAGTAGTCCATGCCTGTGGTCCCAGATCCTTGGCGGGCTGATGTGGGAAGATCACTTAAGCCTAGGAGGTCGAGGCTGCAGAGAGCCAAGATCGCAGACTGGGCATCAGAGCAAGACCCTTTCTTTAAAAAACACAGAACAAAACAAACTGAAAACAACCCAGCTTGATCTCAGATGAATGGTTAAACAAACTAGTACACCTATACAACGCAGCACTATTCAGCAATAAAAAGGAATGAACTATGGTACATACACTAACATGAATGGATCTCCAGGAAATTATGCTGAGTGAAGAAAAGCCCCTCCCAAAAGGTTATAGACTGTATAATTCTGTTTATTTAACATTCTTGAGGATGACAAAATTGTAGAAACAGAAAACACATTATGGTTCACAAGGGAAGGAACTGGGGGCTGGGGAACAGCAGGGGCGTGGGTGTGTTTATAAAACAGCAATACAAGCGATCCTTGTGATGGAACTGCTCTGTATCTTAACTGTTGGTAGACACACAAACCTACACATGTGATAAAAGAGCACAGAAGTAAACTGTTGGTAGACACACAAACTCATGCACACATGTGATAAAAGAGCACAGAAGTACACACACACGTAAAACACACACACAAGTAAAACTGGAAATTTATACAGGATCAGCAGATTGTATCAATGTTGGCATCCAGGCTGTGACGTTGTACTACAGTACACATAGTATATATAGTACATATATACACAGATAGCGCTATAGTACAAGATACGGAGATCTCTGTATTCGCTCTTACAAGTGCATGTCAAACTACAATTACCTCAAACTTAAAAAGTTTTCTTTAGTAAAAAAGAACACCACAAAGTTCTCTTTGAAATAGGAAAGGTGATTCCTAAGTTCACTTGGAAAATAAGCAAAATCAGGACAAAGCAAGGATTTTTACTTTGATTCTCTTTATCCACACTGTCCTGGAAGTTTAAGCCAGGGCAGTAAGGCAAGAAAAGTTAAGTCATCCAGATAGGAAAGAAAGAAAGTAAAACCACTGGCATCTATCTCAGCCTCTCTGTAGAGAAAGGGGCTCTGCTCGGCTCCCAGAACCATCCTGGGCCAGAAATTGGGAGAACCATATGAGATTAGACCAGAGTGAAAGGTCAAAGTAGAAGTTGGAACCCCAGGCTTTATTGTGCAGAACAGGAGAAAAGGCAGCATACAAGAAATAACCTTAGGATAGGAAGAAGTATTTACTTAGAAAACCATCAACACTCTTTAGTCAAAGTTTACCCCTCCCCTCCAAATACACACTTGAGGTCAGGAGTTCACACAAGCCTGGCCAACAAGGTGAAACCCCATCTCTACTAAAAATACAAAAATGACCCAGGCATGGTGGTGGCTGCCTGTAATTCCAGCTACTTGAGAAGCTGAGACATGAGAATTGCTTGTACCTGGGAGGCCAGAGGCCGTGAGCCAAGATCACGCCACTGCACTCCAACCTGGGTGACAAAGAGAGAGAGACTCTGTCCCAAACAAACAAACAAACAAACAAACAAAAAACTAATGAGTAATTTAGCAACATTGCAGGATACAGAGCAAAATAAAAAATAAACTGTATTTCTTACATGTTAGCCATACACAAGTACAAGTTGATATGAAAATAAATTGTTGAGAGTTGTATAAGACCTGTATCCTGAAAACCTTGCTGAGAGAAATTAAAGAACAAGATAAATGGAGAGATACTATGTTCATAGACTGAAAAGTCAACGTCGTTAATATGTCAATTTTCCCAAATTGTTTTACAAGTTTCATGAAATCCCAATCAAAATTGCAGTGGGCTTTTTTCTAGCAATTGACATGCTCATCTTAAAATTTATATGAAAATGCAAAGAACTCAGATTAACAAAAACCACTTTGAAAAAGAGACTAAAGTTTGCAAAACTACCTAAAGTTGAAAACTACCTAATTCTGGTGACTAAGTATAAAGTTGTAAGTCACTGAGACAATCTGTTGGTATTGGTATAAAAATAAACAAATATATCAAAGGAACAGAACAGAGAGCCCAGAAATATTCATCCATATATGGCCAACTAATACAGGCTTAATTCAATGGGAAAAATGGTTTTCAACAGATGGTGCTAAAAGTGGATATCAATATGTCAAAGGAACCTAAATCCATACTCAACACCATAAAAAATTAACTCAAAAGGATTATAGGCCTAAATGTAAAACTGAAATCAGAAGATCAGAATATAAAAGACAATTTTGTGACATTAGATGAAGCAAGATTTCTTACACAGGCATCAAAGTAGTCCATAAAAGTAAAATTTTGGGTAGGGTACAGACTCATGCCTGTAATTCAGCACTTTGGGAGGCTGAGGCATGGATCACCTGCCAGGAGTTCAACACCAGCCTAGCTAATATGTGAAACCCCATCTCTACTAAAAATTACAAAAAATTAGCTGTGTGGGTGGCGAGTGCCTGTGGGTCCCAGCCACTAGGAGGCTGAGGCAGGAGAATGGCTTGAACCCAGGGGGCAGAGGTTGCAGTGAGCTGAGATCCCATCGCACTCTGGGAGACAGAGCAAGACTCCATCTCAAGAAAAGAAAAAGAAAATTTTACATAAATTGACTACACTGTAAAATTAAAATACTTTGCTTTGTGAAAAACTAAAAATATGAAAAGACAAAGCAACACACTAGTACAAATAATCACATGATCACATGTGATACAGAATTTGTATCAAAAATACATAAAATTTCTTAGAATGTAACCAAATTAAAATAATGAGTTGAAACAGATGTTTCACTTCAAAGAAGACACAGATGGCAAATACACATGAAAAATGCCCTATACCATTAGTCACTAAAACTTCAAGATGGCTCACTCTATGCCAAAAGAAGGTTCTATAATTAAAAAGACTACCACTACCAGGTACTGGCAAAGATGTAGAGGAAGTAACCGAAGTCACATAAAGGTGTATAAATGAAAATGGTGTAAACAATTTAAAAACAGTTGATAATTTCTAAAACTTAATGTACCTATCATATGACCCACTTAGTCCATTCTGAACGCTACTATTACCCAAAAGAAATAGGTGGGTGGTTCATATAAAGATTTTCAAAATGTCTACAACCTTACTCATGTTAGCCAAAACTCGGGAAATAATTGTTTATCAACAGGTTGTTATGATAAATAAATTGCTACATCACAACATCACCCACTAGCCAATGAAAAAGAATAAGATGCAAACAGCATGGATGAATCTTGAAATAATCATGCTGGAGAAAGAAGTTAGACAGAAAAGAGTACATACTGTAGATCCATTTGATTAAATTCTAAAAGGCAAATACCTACTGAATAGTGACATACACAGCCAGCAAATGTACCTGGCAATGGAAGAGGACAGGATGGAGGGTTACAAAGTGGCGTAAGAAAACTGTGAGGGTGATAATGTATGTCAATATTTTGATTGTATATGGTATATTCACATATTAAAGCTTATCAAATTGTAGACTTTAAACACTGTGGCTACTATCAATTATACCTCACTAAAGTGATTAAAAAGAAACCCACCACACTTTCTTTGAAAACAAAAGATTGATTCTGGGTTCCTATGGAAAAACCCTAAGGAAGTGAGAATAGGTCAGGAGAACTTTATGCTTCCCCAGCAGAACATATGCAGAGAAAGAAACTGTTGAGACACAGTTTAATGAACTGGTGTCTTAATAATGTGATAAAAGCTACATAGGTTCTAAATTATAGTAATAATAAACAAAACCAACAGAGATCAATGATATAACTAGAAAGTCCAGGAAAAAAATTGTGCATATGTAAAAGAATACATTAAAATACTACAGACTAGTCACAGTGGCTCATGCCTACAATCCTGGCACTTTGGGCAGCTAAGGTGGGAGGATTGCTTGGCCTTCCAGGAATTCAAGACTGTGCCTAGGCAACACGGCAAGACCCCCATCTGTACAAAAATCAAAATTAGGCCAGGCATGGTGGTATATGTATACTTGTGGTCCAACTACTCAGGAGGCTGAGGCAGGAGGATCTCTAAGCGAGGAGTTTGAGACCAACCTGGGCAACAGAAAAATGATTGTCGAACAAAAAAATTAAAAAAATTAGCTGGGATAGTGATGCATGCCCGTGGTCCTAGCTACTCAGGAGATTTGGGTCTGCGAGGCTGAGGCTGCAGTGGGCCGATCACACCAAAAACACTCCAGCCTGGGTAACGGAGTGTAAAAAGTGTGAGCCAAGAATTATTTCAAAGTTGTTCAGTGTGGAGTTCTTTATAAAATGAGCAAAGTACAAAACTACTTAGATGTTGAAAAAATTGTGACTTGAATTATGGTATGACATCAAATAATAAAATGAAACTCTTGAAAAAATTTGATGAGACAAAATTTATATAAAGTACATCACTTACAATCCTCCCTCTCCAAAAGTATATATAAAGTACAACCAAAAAGGTTTATACATGATTTTTAAGTGACTAGAAGTAAATATCAAGAAGTTAACAAAGGTTTCCTTACAGGTTGATAGAATCGCATGTTCTGTAATTTTCACTCTAAATTTTCCCCACAATGCATACTACCTTTTATTTTATCAAAAGAAAATATAAATGCTATTTGGCGATATTTTTCACATCACAAAATCTATTTTTAACAAACATGATAAAATTTATGGAAAGCTTCACTTTTAAGGGTCCATATGTAGTAAATCAGTTAGCCAACTAAAGAAATAAGATCATCATATAAAGGAAAAACCAGAATATTACCTGGCTCATTTACTCTGTCTCAATTCCCCAAAGCATTTCCACAAGTGATTATGATTTTCACCTTCACTATTGTCTAAGATACAGAAGAATATAAAGCTTGAGAAGCCAGTCTTCCTGAAGAACTCCAGCTCTTCACTTACCATCTTCTGCTAAGACCTTGGCTGCATCTTTTCTGCCTTCCCACTTTCCAGTCACTTCGAAACAATCTCTGAGACTGTTCATAGCCTTATGAAAAGTGAGTACTATAGGTGAGATGTTCCAATCACTCAGCAAAATGTCTAAGAAATGGCAGTATCAATGCTAACACCCTACTTAAACATTTCCCACTTACAGATATTCTCCTTCCAAAATGAGTCTAGGAAATAACTTTACCTTTGATGAGAAAGGAACTGCAGAGATAAAACACATGAAGCTACAGATAGGGAAAGTATTAAATACTACTGCCAGCCTATTAACCTCATATAAAACAAAACAGATAATTACTAATTCAACTAATTTTCACCTTATTAAGGTTTCTATGATGCAAATGAAACAGTAGTTTACAAAGTTGGTTCTGGATACTTGTTAATTAACCCGTCTGTTTGAAAACTTAATTCCTATAAAATAGAGAAGATATTTGAGAATTATGTATCTGATAAGTGACTTACATCCAGGATATATAAACAACACATACAACTAAGTAATCCAACTTTTGAAATGGGTAAACAATATAAGAATATATACAAATAATCAATAAACACATGAAAAGATGTTCAACATCATTATCTATCAGGGAAAATGCAAGTCAATATTGCAATGAGATACAACTTATCTCCCCAGGATGGCTTTTTTTCATAATCAAAAAGACATAATAACAAGTGCTGTGAAGAAATGGTGAACTGGGAACCTACATACAGTGCCAGTGGGTAAGTAAATGGCACAGTCACTTTTGAAAAGAGAAATGAGTGAGTATATGAGGGAAAATATTATTAACTGTTTCAATCATTATTCTGACACTTATTTTGTGTGTAATATGATAAAGCAAATGAGTAATTATGTAGGATTCTAATTTCATCATCTCTGATTCAACTAGGAATAATTCTCCAGTGGAAGAATGAATAGGCTGTAGTCCTCCAAATGTGAACTGAAATATTCATGGACTCTCCTGGTTCGGGTGAGTTGAGAAGGCCTAGAAGTAATGACCAACTCATGGCAGTGCGATCTTTGCTGCCTAGGCTTAAGCCAGGTTGAAATACCATTTTCTACTTTCAAAAGAAATCAGGACTTTATGGCTGATTCCAAGAGCCTCTGACATCACAGAGCAAGAATTGATCAAGGATGACTATGATCAGCCACATAAGAACCTGTGGTTACATGCAGGAGACTCACAGGCCACAGTGTGTGGGATAAAGAGGAGTTTCAATAAGTGATAAATATGTGCAGCAGCACCAGGCACATCAACTACATTTATATCCATGACACCACAGTGAAACTTACTAACAAGTGTCCTTGAAAAAACTGATTAAAAATCAAGTATGGGCCGACGCGTTGGCTCACTCCTGTAATCCCAGCACTTTGGGAGGCTGAGGTGGGCAGATCACAGGATCAGGAGTTTGAGACTAGCTCTGACCAACATGGTGAAACACCATCTCTACTAAAAATACAAAATTAGCCGGGCATGGTGGCAGGCACTCATGGTAACCAGTTACTCAGGAGGCTGAGGTAGGAGAATTGCTTGAACCTGTGAGGCAGAGGTTGCAGTGAGCTGAGATTGCACCATTACACTCCAGGCTGGGTGACAGAGCAAGACTCTGTCTCCAAAAAAAAAATTAAGCATTTACCTTATATATATAGAAGTGGATAACCAAATAGTAGAAGAGAAAAAGTTTCTCTTTAAATAAGTATTACAGCTGATAAATAAAGAGAAATTATTGAATAGAACATCATCACTCTGTGTTCTTAAGAAATTGATGGTTCTAGGCATTGAGCACCAACAAAATGATAAACATCTAACATCATTAAAAGGACACAACCAGTCTTTATGCGCCTCCTAATGAGAAAACGCCACCCACCACTTGGGAAGCAGTTTTGCCGCAAAATAAAAATCAAATGTAAATCCTATCCAACCGTTAGATGTTTTGTCTATAAGGTAACTAGAAACATGTGGCTATTTAAATTAATTAAGATTAAATAACATTTAAAATTTAGTTCTCTAGTCTCGCTGGCCACATTTAAAGAGCTCAGTAGCCACAAGAAGCCACACAACTCACAGCTCAGATATACATTCCGCTCATCACAGAAGTTCTATTAGTATTGCTCCACACCCGCTCTCACAGGAAATACGGAGGGCCTGTGAAACTGCAGAGGGATGCAAAGCAATCCACAAAGTCCAGAATACAAGAAATTCTGCAGACCAAAGACTTGATTTCTTAAATAAAATGTAACCCAAAAAAAGAAATGGGAAGGAAAGATTGTTGACTAAAAGTGTTAAAAGATAGAGTGAAAAACAGTAATGAAAATCAGGTAAAAGTAAACTATGATGCTTATGGAAGCATGAGTGAGGAAACTAGAAGAAAAGGAAAGAGTCCTCATAAGAAGTTGACCACACTCTTCTACAGGGAAGAAGGGACCAGACTGGTGTCGCACCTGAGCAGCAAAGCTGATTCCTTTCCAGCCTGAGTGCTGGAGTCTTCACCTTCTGGCAACCCATTGGTTAAAAACAATTGTTTTCATGTGTTTTCTATATCTGTATTAAATTTCACCATAAAGAATGGTTAAATAAAATCTCATAAAATTCATTATGTGGTACCTGGTGAATTACAATAGGCAGTATGATAGCACTAATTGTGAGAAGCTTACACCTAAGCCAAACAGAATTGACAAAAAGAAGGCAACCTTTGGAAGATCAGAACATTGCAGAAAAGAATATAGAGAAAGGGGCTGGCACGATAGCTCACTCCTGTAATCCCAGCAGGCTGGGACGCCAAGGCAGGAAGATCACTTGAGCTCAGATTGAGACTAGCTCAATATGGTGAAACATTTTCTCTACAAAAAATGCAAAAATTAGCCAGGCCTGGTGGCTCATGCCTATAGTCCCAGCTACTCTGGAGGCTGAGGTGGGAAGATCCCTTGACCCCAGGAGGTCGAGTCTGCATTGAGCCATACGCTCATGCCACTGCACTCCAGTCCAAGATGCAGAGAAAGACGGTGTCTCAAAAAAAAACAAAACAAAAAGAGAATTTGGGAGGCTGAGGTAGATGGATCATGAGGTCAGGAGTTCAAGACTGTTCTGGCCAACATGGTGAAACCCCATCTCTACTAAAAATACAAAAATTAGCCGGCATGGTGGCACATGCCTATAATCCCAGCTACTCCTGAGGCTGAGGCAGGAGAATTGCTTGAACTCTGGAGGTGGAGGTTGCAGTGAGCCAGATCGCACCACTGCACTCCAGCCTGGGCAACAGAGTTAGACTTCATCTCAAAAAAAAAAAAAAAAAGAGAGAGAGAGAGAGAGAAAGAGAAGACGTCTAAGAGGAGGGTAAGCTGCGGTGAGTTTGAGTACTGAATGAATTCCAGTGTGATTACAAAGTGGTGAGCTGCAGGAAGAACATTTACAGGTATCACAGATTTCTCTATGCTTACAAATAGCAAAAAAACTATAAATGCTAACTCAGGAGTGCTACGATATCCTAGTGATAAGACACAAAATACATCTGATGTATAAAAACTTATGTGCGCCACTTCAAAATGAAAATGCACGCTACTGTGCACACTGGAAGCTGAACTCTGTCCTCCGAAGGGGCCATGTACATGGTCTAACTAAACTCAGAACATGTTACTGCTTAGACATGAAGGCCCACTGTAATATCTGGGAGAATGACCTGTAATCCTGTAAAAATAAGAAGCCAACAACAGGTAAGCAATATTGACTAGATAATCTTATTCTAGAACAATCCTCTAATAAATCAAATGTACTACCCAGCCTTACTTCCTCTAAATCCCAGTCATGGGGGCCTACAAGAAATCTGGAGTAGTCCAAAGAGTCAGCCTTGTGCTTCCACTCTCTGTCAGGCTGGTTGACATGAAACAACCCTGCAAGCTCTTCTTGGGTATCATGATCTTCTTCTTCATTATCTTCTGCCACTAAAGAGGACACCATGGCAGAAAAGTGAGAACAAAAACTACAGCCCTGGAGGACTCATTGTTTTCGACAAGTTAGGCCATGAGTCTTCGAACTCAGGAACTGAGGGCCTCTGTCTGTGGTGGGTATAGCAATGGCCACATATGAGTTAGGCACTGAGAGGGCAGGGCAGTCACAGGTTAAGAGAGCCAGGCTATTGCCTTACATGTGGGTTCTGCGCCTCTGCACGGCAGCAGCAAGGAGGCCGAGGAACGAGACTATTAGGGCTCAAGGAGGAAGGAACATTTAAAAGCAGAGCTTTAGATGACAAAGAAGAGCTCTAAAGATTGTTGAGCCTCCTCATCACTAAGCCGTACTTAGACAAACCTGGAATGAAAATCAGTTCACAGCAACCCTCCCAATTCCAGTGCGTGCTGAGCCCAAATATCTCACCATGTGGTCTTTGATCTCATCGTGCAGTAACCAGGGAGCACAATGTAAAGTTCACCACTATCTATTTACTTTTGCATTAATTCTACCAGAAAGAACATATAGGTAAGTTTAATAAAGCATGAAATCAGAAGAGAAGGGCAAAAGGGAGAACAAACTGTGTTATACAGGGTTCTCATTCTCAGAAAGGAAAAAATAAATATTTTTATGGTCAGAAGTATTTTTCTAGCACCAAATTTCAAAAGTTTCTCATGAAGGACTTTTAAATAGGACATAACATGATGCAATGGACAGTATTTGCATCAAGTTTTACAACAAACCCATAAGTCTACTTGCTAAGATCAAAGTGTGGTCCTCATAAGTTGGCGATTAATTGCCAAATATGAAATGTGATGGCCAGCAATTATGGATGTCAACAATACCAGCCCAATCAACCAATTCCCTCATCTCCTTTTCAGAAAACAATCAGAGAAACTAAAAAGTTTCCAGCTCTGAACTAGAATTCTTTACCTGTCCCATAAATAAGCTTTCAGAGGTTTGGGAGCTGCTTTGCTGGCTGCCTCAGAAAGCCCTCAGCCGCCTTTGGAAAAAGGCCCTCCTTCCACTTGGAGGGCACCTGAAATGACTAATGCTAACCTCCAGTTAGGCTTGTTCACGTGTCTCCCCTCCCTTGAGATCCATCCACAATGCAGCATTTCAACAGTTAATCTCAAAATCAACAGACCTCAAAATGTAGACATTTCACTGGGTACCACTTCGAGAGCCAAGTTCATGGCAGCAACCAACCAAATTCTGCTTATCTGAGGCTTCTTTGGAATCATTATTTTCTTCCTTGTAATCTTCTTCCTCTTTGAGTAAATCTTCTATATCACTGGTCTCATCAATTAAGTTCCTTGACCCCAGTTTCTGACTACTGCTCACTGGAGAAGGCTTTGAAAACTTTTTCTAATAGCCTCGCCATTTTCTGAGTCCTCTTCCCTCTGCACTGAGCGAGGAGCTTTTTAGATTTATCTTCAGATGCAACGCCTTCAGCTGTGCAATGCCCAGAATCGAAGTCATGAGGGCTGCTTTTCATCAGCAAAGACTTCTCCAGATCCACACGGGGTCACTCCAGCACTGCGCAATTCGCTGGTGATAGCCCTGCTTCACTACCTTCTCCAACAGCCTTTGATCCTGAAATGCCCCCCTCTCCTGCAGTGCAGTCCTCTTCTTCACTGCTTTCATCAGCTTCCTCTGCTTCCCCTTCTTCCGCTGAGCTCCCCTCAAGGTCATCGTCACTGTCAGCAAATGCTGGCAAATCCATTTCACTGTCTTCTTCCAACTCTTCAAGTTTCTGTCGTTTGACGCCCTTACCAGCCATATACTGATCAGTCATCTCAGCATTTTCCTCCTCTTCTGCTTCCTCATCACTAGAGCCATTTTCCAACCCATAATCTTCAGACATTTCATCATCTTCTTCATTATCACTATCTCCAGATTCATCTTTATCTCCAAAAATGGCTTTCTGATGCACTTGGCCAGTTTTCAAGTCCATTTGTTTTTCCTCCTTTGACATCAACAGCCTATATTACCAAGGAAATGCAAAATAATTTAACTTGTACATTAATCAGTTAATCTAGAAATGGCAATATAGTCAACAAAAACATAAAGAAATAGAAAATGTCAAGGAATTGTTTAAGATGACATAGCATAGGGAAAAAATGATCTGATAAAAATTGGAACATTTAATAAACAAACTCAGGCATGGTTCCCTAACACCATACTTCAAAAGAACTTATAGGGAGAATAAAGAAATAAGCCTTTTAAAAAAAAAAATCTAATTTTAGAAAAAAATCACTTAAAAAGGAAGTTAATGTTTTGTAGATCTTTTGGAAAGCTGATTTATTTCTAAGCTAAAAACACATGATCCTTAAGAGAAATGGCCAAGTCCAGGCCCAAGGCAGGAAAAGGGCAAAATGAGCCTGGATCCTCTTGTTTTATCAGAAAGTAAGAAATGCTCAAAGACTAACAGAGACAGTTGAAAGGACACAGGAGACAGGCTGAAGGCTCCCGTGGCCAAATCTGGGACAGCATAGGCATCAGAAAGAATAATGATAGTGATGGAAAATAACCCATGGAACAAAATGCAAGTACATTAGTCAGCAGTGATACCAAAATAAAGGGGAGAAGTGAAAGCTCTTTGTTAAAAATGCCGGCTAACAAATGTAGGAGGAATGACAGAGGAAGAATATCCATTTTAAGTCACCAGTGCCATAACTGACAGACAAGAATCATCAGGAGGCTAAAATCACAGGATGAAAGAAAACTGTATAAAGCTAATTAACATAGCAAGATACGTAAAATTATGAAAACACAAATTAGAAAAAAACTAAAAATCATACCATAAGAGATGGATAAGTTAGAATACAGCAATAATAGGCCAGGTATAGTGGCAGAATACAGAAATAATAGGCCAGGCATAGTGGCTCACATCTGTAATCCCAGGACTTTGGGAGGCTAAGGCAGGAGGATTGCTTGAGTCCAGGAGTTCAAGACCAGCCTGGGCAACATAGTGAGACCTCATCTCTAGAAAAAAAACTAAAAAATTAGCCAGGTGTGGTGGCACACTCCTGTAGTCCCAGCTACTTGTGGGGCTGGAGTGGGAGGATCACTTGAGCCTGGGAGTTCAAGGCTGCAGTGAGCCAAGTTCACGCCACTGTACTCCAGCCTGGGAGACAAAGTGAGACTTTGTCTCAAAAAAAAAAAAAAAAAAAAAAAAGAATACCCCAATAATAACAAAATGATGACTACATGAAGACTGTATAGAAAAAGGAAGTGCTCAGAATATAGAAATAAAATTATGTATTTTAACTATAACTGTATTAGAAGAGAGTATTCTTGTAGACAAGGATGACTAAAAGGATATGGAAAAATGAAAGTAGCTAACAACACTCATTATAAAAGAGTGATCTTTCGGCGAACACTTCGTATCTGTCAGGCATTGTGCTAGGTAGTTTATGCACACTGTAACAAATTACATACCAGGTAATCTCAAAAATTTCAGATAAATTTTACTGGGAGTCATCAATCAATCCAACAAAACCAATGTTTTGCAAACATCCACTAAGCATAAAGGTATACAAATTCCCAACCCAGACTGAGAAATAATTCACATAAGCCATAAATCAGTGGAAACCCACCCATGGGAGATAATACAACATAATCTAAATAAAACTTTCAGAGGCAAGGCATGTGGCTTCTGGACAGCTACAAAATCCCTGACTGTTCTAGTGTTTTGGCCACCAAAAGAAAGCGGAGTGCCCTTAGGCTCTTGAAAAAACAAAAAGTAACCTATGGAAGATGGTGTGGTATTTGAAGAATATTTGGGGTCTGTTGAAAAATGCATCCTGTATTTTATTTCAAGAAAATACTCTCTTGTAATGTCAGGTAAGTGAAAAGCCCTCAGAGACACAAGCACACACACCCACAAAACCAAAACAACCTAGAACGAATTCCACCAAAATGTGTTATGATAGCAGACTTACACATCTTCTAAAATGTATCTTTTTATTAAAACTAGAAAAAAGCAGACTTCCCCTTGATTATCTATATCCTCTGACCCAAGTGGCTTGGAACCAGCAAACAGCATCACCTGACTTGAAGCCATCTTGGCATCAATGGTGGAGATGGTGGAGATGAGACTCTGGACCAGCTCATGGATGGGCCCCACCTCGTCCTGTCAAGGCCACCAAGAAAAGGCACGTGAGGAAAACACAAAGATCCTGGAGAGACACTAGTTTCACTCAGTTTCTCAAAATTATCTTAGACACATTTCCTGAGAACCTTTCTTAAAGCCTCAAAAAGCAGAGAAGAAAATCCTTAGAGCAAAGCTTGAAATGGATCCCCATCTCCATTAAACTTTTCCAAACTTCAGGGAGTCTGTAACCTGATAATCTAAACATCTAGCTAGAAAAATCGCAGTTCCAGTGCTACAACAATGCTAGCTTTTCTAACATCTTTAAATAATCCTGATTTTAACCCAATAAAATTCTACTACAGAACTAAGAAATAAACATTTAAAATCCACTTTAAAATACAGAATGAGGAGACCATTGTGAATGAGAAAAGGACCAATGAAAACTGGAAAGCACACTGATTTTGTAGAAACGGGGATGGGCTGTGCAGGCGCCACATGGCAGCAGGGCCCGCACTGGGGCCATGGATCAAGGAGGCCTGGAGGACAGGACTCTTCTGCTTGGTAAAATGAAAAAAAAAAAAGGTATTATTTTTATCCTATATATATTTACAATATGCATTTGGGCCTTTATTATAAGTACAAGAGAAAAATCTTCAATAAGTAAAAGCTGAGTACCTTACTTTTTGTGATTAAAAAACAGATTCAGAAAGAGTAATGAGAGTTCAGAGCAATGACTCCCGTCTCACCGAAGCCTGAAAACTGTGGCTGCCACCAAGGCAACATAGACAGCGTCTTTGTCACACAGCACACCCCCACCCCAGAAAGAGGCACATAAACCAGCTTCTCCTTCTCATTTAAACAGTGCTTCCTTTGTTGTTCAGGAAGAGCACAAGGGTCTGGGAGGAAACCGATGTCACTCATGGCAAAATCTTCTACCCCTAGAAGACAGGATCCAAAAAGCCAGCTTCAACTGACAAGAAGTCAGAAGTATCCACTGTTGACTGGGGGGTTAAAAATGAGCCATAGTCCAAGGGCTTAACCCATGACACTAAATAAGGGCATCGTGCCACACTGAAACAGTGGCCCTCTAGTTACAAGACGAGAGGTCAGAGAAGAGGGGATTCGGTAACACCTTTGCAGGCCTACACACAGTTGGCTTACTTTTAAAACGTCCAGCAAGGCCATCTTCCCTTGTTTGGTCACTTTTCAGTTTTTCTGAGAAATAAAGCCATCCCAAGAATCCTATGTGTAATTCTAGTATGTTCTACAACAAGAGAATACCTGGCATGTCAATTTGGCTTTTATTTTTCAATTGTGCTCCTCTTACATAACCATAAAGTGACACCTACCGGTCACATTTGATGTTTTTTGGATATCCTCTGGGTTTGTCAAATCTTCCATCCTAGAAAAATAAACTCAATCATACAGTAGAAATGAATGCCAAAAGTTCTTGTACCTCCTTTCATGTGTCAATGACTCATCACACTCTTGTCCACTAAGCATGTCATTTAGAAAACTAGAAAATGAAGAAATAAGGAAGCACCATTCACCATCCAGCAGAGGAAAAGGGGCAGGAACACAATTGCATCTCTAGGCTGAAAGTGACATTCATTCCATAAGACACCAGACAGGGAGATGATGTCCACCTGGGGTCAGGGAAGAGTGAAGAACATATTCAGAAAACCCCTTTCTGGAAGAGGGTGAGCCTGTGCTCCGGGATTTTTGCTGTGGCTTGGATTCTGGCAGATGGAGAAAGGGTATTCCAGGCTGAGAAAACCACAGCACAAAGAAGAGCACAAAGGAAGGAAACTGAAGGCACACACGAGGACTCAAGCGCCCGGGCATGAAGGCAGCATCACTGAAAACTGAGGATGAACATAGGATGGGGCCACATCCTATAGCCTTAAATGCTTCCAAGTCCTCCCATTCTCCTAAGCATCTCATAATTAATTTACTCCCAAAGGCACAGCATCTTTGAGCAATGATATAAGTAGACATTTCCCATCAACTACACTTCTACCCCCACTATTCAAATAGGCACAAAATAAATCCTACCACTCTTCTTTTTCCAGCCTGTTTAGCTTTGAAATATATGGCCCAGGAAGAAAAAGTTTACAATCACTTTTTACCTCTCTGCCGGGATATAAGGGTGAGAAGTTTGCCATGTGAGAGGCCTAAACTTCACAACTGTAATAAAATGGCCCAGATTGTGGATTTCTTGGTTTTGATATTCTCCATGCACCATTCCAGAAAGGTAGAACAGTTGGCACCCTAAACATTAAAGGAAAATTAAAAATTAAATTCCAATTAAATTCTCATCAATACTGCAACAAAATAAAAGCTCTTCTTGTTTACAAGAAGCAATCCTAAGAAGGGAGATTTGCAGCAAAGCCACTGTTCTGAGGCTTCCAGAGCCTTGCTGGCTTCTTTCAGGACTTACTAGAACCCCACAGAGGCAGACTGCTCTGCAGCTGAGCAGGTTCATCTGTCTAAGTATGGTGAGGAGAGTGAGGTGAGGCATCTGAGCACAGAAACGGTTCTGTGGCTGATGGACCAGAGCAGCATGGAAAGGAAGGGGCAGTGCCCGATCCTGTAACTGGCAGAAACTTCTGATGTACTCTATTAAGTCCCGACCCCAAAACGGCCAGACACTGCCTGGTGCAGCAATGAGATACACCAAGAGACCCAGAATAAGCACCTTCTTGAGGGAAACCTTCCAGAGACTGTGAACACATACACAAAGGGAATTCAGGAGCCGAATCCAAATCCTAGAGAGACTTTTAGCAATGCCTCCTCAGTCTTTTTTTGTTTTTTTTTTTTTTTTTTTTTGTTTGTTTTTTGAGATGGAGTCTCACTCTGTCACCCACACTGGAGTGCAGTGGCACGATCTCAGCTCACTGCACCCTCTGCCTCCCAGGTTCAAGCAATTCCATGTCTCAGCCTCCTGAGTAGCTGGGATTACAGGTGCCTGCCACCACACCCGACTAATTTTTGCATTTTCAGTAGAGACAGGGTTTGGTCATTTTGCTCTGAGCTCGAAACTCCTGGCCTCAAGTGATCCACCAGCCTCTGCTTACCACAGTGCTGGGATTACAGGCATGCACCACTGCATCAGCCCTCTTCAGTCTATTTTAGTAGGATTATACTGTTAGTATCCAACAATTATTTATCTTCCTGCAGGGTAAACTTCTATCCAGAACCTGTGTTTTAATTGCTTCTTTGTCTTGTTCAGACAAGACAAAGTTATTATGCTTGAAGGAGTCAAGGTGGGTGAGAACTCCCACAATTTTAGGAAAACCGTATACTTGACAGATGTTTAGAAACTCAAAGGTTTCCATTTCAGACCCAAAGCTGGCATCTATAAGCATCAGTACCTACAAACAGAACACATCATTTCTCAAAGAAACTACCAAAACAGACCACCTACACTAGGGGTTGGCAACTGGCCCACGGGCCAAATCCACCCATCACCTGTGTTTGTAACTAAAGTTTTATTGGAACACAGCCACATGAATTCATTTACATATTGTCTATGGCTGCCTGTGCACTACAACTGCAGAGCTAAGTAGCTGCAAGAGATATGATCCACAAAGCCACAAGTATTTACTGTCTGGTCCTTGACAGAAAAGTCGCACTCCAGACTAAATCAAATGACTACATAGGCATCACCCAGACAGAGAAACCACCACCCTCTGACTTGCTCTAAAAGCCAACCATAAGACAATGTCCACTAGGATATAAACTTCCATTTTAAGAATTTTAATGCATGAGAAGTAACTCAGAAAAGGCTGGGTCTAACCTGGCCCTTACCTAAGAAATCCTAATTTAAAGAAATGAAGTTTTCTGCAATGTACTTTTAAGCCAAATAACAGGTCTCTGACATCCAAAGAATGGGAAGCAAGTGATAATCAATGAAATATATTAAATATGTACAGAAAACCAACTTCTTGTTTCAATATCCTCATAGGAAAAAAAAAAAAAAAAAATCTTTTTTTTTTTTTTTTGAGAAGTATGCAGTGGAAACCTCTATCTTGTATGTCAACTTGTATAACTCAATTGCTCAGAAGTATTTTTTAAACAGGTACCAGTTTAAAATTAAGTCAAAACACTGTAAGATTATAATGAATGGTAGTCTATAAGAAAATATAAGCAGATAAGACCAATTTTTAAAATTTAAGACACTTCAAAGATGCTAAATAATTTCAGAATTGATTACTGGAAACTTGTAATTTTAATATTAAATACCCTTTTGTTCTTATCTTTCCATAGATAAACTAAAAATAACAAAATATGGAAACAGAAATGCCCATCTTTGATTAAACTAAGTAGTTAATAGAATATCAGAAATAGTGAACATTATCATTTCCATAAATGCAAGAGCGTGTACATTTTCCATACACTGAGTACTGTCTAGATTTTCTATTGATAAACTCTGACCACTTCTTCAGGCAATTCATGTACTTTAGCATTATCATGAAGGATGAAGGTTCTGGAACCATCGAGAAGAACGGTCCCATCCTCACACAAGTTACTTAACTGCTGGGAGCCTCTATTTCATCTTTTGTAAGCTACAGATAATGCCTACTCATCTCAAGGGTGTATCAAGGGTCTGTGTAAGCCAAGTTTGTAGAAAGCAGTCAACACGGTGACATGAAGGGTCCAAGAAGAAATGACACTTACTATGATATATTTTTACATATCTATGTACACATATTAATGAGCTCTTATTAGCTGTGTTCATTAAAGCTTTTCTCCATCCTGTGATGTGCTCTAAGATTTTGGAATACATGTCATTGTGCACATTCCATGTTTATTATTAATATAATAACATTTATTACTATTATTATCATCAATTCAGTCACATCTACTGTATCCCTGATGATGATCATGTTTCCTTTAATAATCATAAAACTCTCCTCCCTTCATCACAGGGTAAATAACCTATCACAATGCTGTAAGTCTCCATCAGCACCCCAGGCTGCCCCTGCTGACTTACTAGATCTGCTGCTTTAGCCAGATCAACTATCATGTTAATGTCACACCCACATTCAATAATGGTGAGTCTGCACTTTTTACCTGTAAGTGAAAAGATGAAAACTTTACTTTAAAAAGACCCTGAAAAAACTGTAACCATCAACGCTAATTTTCACTTTTGTAATTTCATCCAGCAAAACACCATATACGTTTATAGGAGTGTACCAGAAGTTCATTTTTATAAGCAAAAACTGGTAAAATAAAATAAATTTCATCCTGTTTTCCTTGCTGTGTTCTAAATTTAAATAATATCAAAAGTGTACCCAGATGAATAAAAGTGCTCAAACAGGGAAAATTCTGACTTGACAGGCTCCATGATAACCATGATCTTGCTGTTCAGCTGCAGGCCAATGTCTTCACCTCTATCAAAACTTCCCAAAGCTGGAGGCATCATGCTACCTGACTTCAAACTATACTACAAGGCTACAGTAACCAAAACAGCATGGTACTGGTACCAAAACAGAGATATAGACCAATGGAACAGAACAGAGTTCTCAGAAATAATACCACACATCTACAGCCATCTGATCTTTGACAAAACTCAGAAAAACAAGAAATGGGGAAAGGATTCCCTATTTAATAAATGGTGCTGGGAAAATTGGCTAGCCATAAGTAGAAAGCTGAAACTGGATCCTTTCCTTACTCCTTATACGAAAATTAATTCAAGATGGATTAGAGACTTAAATGTTAGACCTAATACCATAAAAATCCTAGAAGAAACCCTAGGTAATACCATTCAGGACATAGGCATGGGCAAGGACTTCATGTCTAAAACACCAAAAGCAACGGCAACAAAAGCCAAAATTGACAAATGGGATCTCATTAAACTAAAGAGCTTCTGCACAGCAAAAGAAACTACCATCAGAGTGAACAGGCAACCTACAGAATGGGAGAAAATTTTTGCAATCTACTCATCTGACAAAGGGCTAATATCCAGAACCTACAAAGAACTCAAACAAATTTATGAGAAAAAAACAAACAATCCCATCGAAAAGTGGGCAAAGGATATGAACAGACAGTTCTCAAAAGAAGACATTCATACAGCCAACAGACACATGAAAAGATGCTCATCATCACTGGCCATCAGAGAAATGCAAATCAAAACCACAATGAGATACCATCTCACACCAGTTAGAATGGCGATCATTCAAAAGTCAGGAAACAACAGGTGCTGGAGAGGATGTGGAGAAATAGGAACACTTTTACACTGTTGGTGGGATTGTAAACTAGTTCAACCATTATGGAAAACAGTATGGCGATTCCTCAAGGATCTAGAACTAGATGTACCATATGACCCAGCCATCCCATTACTGGGGATATACCCAAAGGATTATAAATCATGCTGCTATAAAGACACATACACACGTATGTTTATTGCAGCACTATTCATAATAGCAAAGACTTGGAATCAACCCAAATGTCCATCAGTGACAGATTGGATTAAGAAAATGTGGCACATATACACCATGGAATACTATGCAGCCATAAAAAAAGGATGAGTTCATGTCCTTTGTAGGGACATGGATGCAGCTGGAAACCATCATTCTCAGCAAACTATCACAAGAACAGAAAACCAAACACCACATGTTCTCACTCATAGGTGGGAACTGAACAATGAAATCACTTGGACTTGGGAAGGGGAACATCATACACTGGGGCCTATCATGGGGAGGGGGGAGGGGGGAGGGATTGCATTGGGAGTTATACCTGATGTAAATGACGAGTTGATAGGTGCTGACGAGTTGATGGGTGCAGCACGCCAACATGGCACAAGTATACATATATAACAAACCTGCACGTTATCCACATGTACCCTAGAACCTAAAGTATAATTAAAAAAAAGACAAAAGTAAATAAATTATTTGCAACCCATCATACACATCTAATAACAGAATAAAAAGATAAAAGATACCGATTCTGAACATTCCAAAAATTTACCACTTAATTTCTGGAAGAAGTTTATCTTCCACTCAAATTTAGTGAAGAGAGGAGGTCACTGTGGCTTAATAAAATGGCTCATCTCCAAGCTAATGTCCAATCTCATATCAGCCAAAGTATGATCACCAGGTTACATTAAAGATAAGTTTGATATATATTTTTTCACTCAAACACCCATCAGCTTTGCAATGCAATATTTTCTCTCAAAGGCAAGGGAGACATCAATGTTAAATAAAAAACCAAAAGAATTTAAAACAATCTATTTTGTATTGTTACATACTTATACAGTTGGAATTAGTATTTGCTTTATTTTAATCTACCATAAAATTGTTTGTAAATGGAATTTCTCCTCAATAAATGAGTGCTCCACAAAAAAAAAAACACAAAAACTTCCCGTATTCCCACTATAGCTACAAACATCCTCAAATATAATATAACAGAATATTCATAACGATAATCATTTCCAAATTAAGGTTATAAGAAAATGGTCTAGAAAATATGGGCTGGGCACAGTGGGAGGCCAAGGCAGGCAGATCCCTTGAGCCCAGGAGTTTTGAAACCAGCCTGGGCCACATGGGGAAACCCCATCTCTCCAAAACAAAAACAACAAAAAAAAGGAGGACGGGCGCAGTGCAGCAGCTCATGCCTCTAATCCCAGCAGTTTGGGAGGCCAAGGCAGGTGGATCACTTGAAGTCAGGAGTTCGAGACCAGCCTCGCCAACATGGTGAAACCTCATCTCTACTAAAAATACAAACATTAGCCAGGCATGGTGGCGCATGCCTGTAATCCCAGCTACTCGGGAGGTTGAGGCAGGAGAATTGCTTGAACCCAGGAGACGGAGGTTGCAGTGAGCTGACATCGTGCCACTGCACTCCAGCCTGGGCAACAGAGCAAGATTCTGTCTCAAAAAAAAAGGTAGGGGAGCAAAGAAAAATTAGTCAGGTATGGTGGCATACACTACTCAGGAGGCTAAGGTAGGAGGATTGCTTGAGCCTGGGAGGTTGAGGCTGCAGTGAGCTGTAATCCCACCACTGCATTCCAGTCTGTGCCACAGCATAAGACTGTCTCAAAAAAAGGAAAAGAAAATATGGATGCTCCAAAGATAAAGAAAAACCTCAATCTAACTATATTACTGCAATAACAAGAGATTTCAGAGTGTGCATTGCCATTCTACCACTGGAAGTTTATTTCATCTTCCTTCAAACTTGGAAAGGTCACCATCTCCCAAAGCAGACAATTCTTACAGGAAAAAGAGAAAATGTGCACTGCCACCAGCATGTGGTTTCATAAGGGCAAGCATGTGCACCTGGCACATAGGAGGTACGTGCTCTCTGTTAAATGATGTGTTCACAGTGACCAGGCCTGCTAGGCCCTTCCAAGGAACATGCTTGGTAGAGCCATAGAGCAGTCAGGATAAGATATGTATCACATCCTTATCTCCGGGAACTTACCCTTTTCTGACGCTATAGCCAACTTAGTAAAAGTATAAGAGAGGTAACATAATATGACAATATTTAACATGCTCCACTCAAGTAAACAACAAACACACGCATGTCCCTCAGATGACAACAGCCACGCCAACTCTGTGTCTGGCATCTTTTACCTGACACGATCGTCACAGGGCCTCTGATCTCGGTCAACTTCTGCCCGGTGAAGTTCGGAATGAGGCATTATATCAAAGTGCGCTTTCCAACTTTGGAGACCCCGTCACCACTGCCACTATTGATGGGGGCTCTAGTGGAGTTCAATCAACCACTGGAATATGATGTTTTTTGTCTTCAAATCCTGTGTCCTATTCATTTTTTTAAAAAAAAAAAAAAAAAGTAAACTCACTTTCAAAATAGAGTAAAAGGTATCAACCTTGTAAGTAGACTTTTTTTAGTATACTTATAGATATGAGTACTTTAGTGTATTTTATAGAGAGTACAACAGACAATATATAAATATAATTAACTTGTCAATTATTAACTTGTTAATTTCTGGCCTCTATCCAAATAATTACTGTTTAATAAAGATGTAACAAGATGACTTCAATAGTATAGAGAGTTGAAAATTAAACACTCCTTAAATCTGTTTTATGAGTGATTTTAATAATTTTTTAAAAATCAAAAAGTAAATACCAAAGCAGTGCATCATAACAGATGCAGAGGCTCTGGAGTTAAATTTGCCTCTCCTACTTACTGGTTATATGATTGGAGGGAACTCGTTTTCTTGACCTCAGTTTTCCTATCCATAAAATGAGGGCAAGAATGATTCCTACTCCGGTGAGGCTGCTGGAAGGATTTAGTTGAATAACGTTTAAAGTACACTGCTAAGAATATCACAAGGACTCACTAAATAAAGCTATGTTAGTATTAAATATTGTAATTTTTGTATTTTATATTACAACTACGTAAAACATATCCAAGGGGGAAAGCACACTTATCACCATAGAAACAGTTTAAAGTTTAGGAACAAACAAATTCTGTAAATTCTTTTATCCTGGGCGAGAAACACCAACCAGTGTGCAGATGCTGGAGGCAAGGCAGCTTCTATGGGAAAGGCTTCTCACATTTTAGTAAAAGTCACATACCATGCATCTCCTTGTCTTTTGGAGCTGGACTAGACTTGTGAATACAAATGTCACCTGTGAAAGGCTCTTACTATTTAAAAAGAATCAATAGAATAAGCACCAGACTGCAGCTAAACACACCTGTGAAAAGACTGAGCCATCTGCAGAGCGGACTGAACTGCAACAGCTTTGGGATTTCTCTTCGCAGCATCTTCTTCATCCCCTAGCTGGACATCCTGCAGATGCCACTTCTTTTTCTTTTCAGCTTTGGACCCACTATTTTTCTTTCTGTGTTTCTTCTAGTCTCCATAGTTGCCATTTGCCAATAACAAGTAACTAACTTACAAGGAAGAAGGTTGGGATAAGGAGGTGGGAGAAGCATTTACAATCCAGGCAATACCCAGAAAAAAAACCAATAAATCTCATTTATTTCTTTATGAAGAGATGATGTATTTGTTCACCAAACAAGGGTAGAAACTGATTAATCATCCCCAATTTCTTTTCTCTCTGTTATGCTATAAATTAGATGACTGACTTCTGCTAAATTTACATTTCATGGTTAAGTTACTTTTTATTCATCTTAAGTGTCAACATCAACAGCATGAATTTCTGCAAGTATGGAAATATTATATATCTACACTTTTTGGTCATTTAGCCATTAGCCTCATGTGGTTACTTAAAATGTACTTAGGGAAACTGAAGAAAGTGAATTTTTAATTAATTTCATTCTAACTCTAAATAGTCACATGTGGCTACCATACTGGATGGCTCAGACCTAGATAACAACTGGTCTAATGAAGTGGTTTCCTAACTTAATCTACATTTTAATAAAAAATTATAAACATTTTTATAAACCTCCAATATGATTGAAGTATTACTTTTAGTACCTGTTGACTCTGTAAAACTCCTAAATTACAACTCATCTACATACATTTGAAAAACAGCAATATCTGTATGTGTGAGATATGACTGTTTCTAGATGATGCCTGGAGACTCCATGGACTTACAGAGACCCTTTCAGTGATTTCTGAGGTACCTGGGAATCTGTGGCCAATAAATTGGTAATCACTGAATTAGTGAGCTTTTTTAGGAAATCAGGCTCCATAAAATCTGCATAAAATCAACCGTTCTGGCTGCTTTTATGGGCTGGCATTGAGTATCTGCGGCTTTTCCAGGTGCATGCTACAAGCTGTGTGTGGATCTATCATTCTGGGGTCTGGAGGATGGTGGCCCTCTTCTCATAGCTCCACTAGGCAGTATGCCAGTGGGAACTCTGTGTGGGGGCTTCCACCCCATATTTCCCTTCCACACTGCCCTAGCAGAGATTCTCCATGAGGGCCGCACCCCTGCAGCAAACTTCTGCCTAGACAACCAGCTCTTTCCATACATCCTCTGAAATCTAGGCAGAGGTTCCCAAACCTCAATTCTTGGCTTCTGCGCACCCGCAGGCTCAACACCACATAGAAGCTGCCAAGACTTTGGGCTTGCACCCTCTGAAGCCATGGCCCGAGCTATACCTTGGCCCTCTTTAGCCACAACTGGAGCAGCTGGGATACAGGGCATTGAGCCCATAAGCTGCACATAGCAGGGGGGCCCTGAACCTGGCACAGGAAAGCATTTTCCCTCCTAGGCCTCCATGCTTGTGATGGGAGGGTCTGCTGTGAAAGTCTCTGATGTACTCTGGAGACATTTTCCCTATTGTGTTGGTGATTGACATTCAGCACCTCATTGCTTGTGCAGGTTTCTCCAGCAGGCCTGAATTTCTCCCCAGAAAATGTTTTTTGTTTTTTTTTTTTCTATTGCATCATCAGGCTGCACATTTGCCAAACTTTTACACTCTGCTTTCTCTTGAATGCTTTGCTGCTTAGAAATTTCTTCTACCAGATACTCTAAATTCTCTTTCAAGTTCAAAGTTTCACAGATCTGTAGGGCAGGGGCAAACTGCCATCGGTCCCTTTGCTAAAGCATAACGAGAGTCACTTTTGCTTCAGTTTCCAAGAATTTCCTCATCTCCATCTGAGACCACCTCAGCCTGGACTTTATTGTCCATATCACTATCAGCCTTTTGGTCAAAGCCATGTAACAAGTCTCCAGGAAGTTTCAAACTTTCCCACATTGTCCTGTCTTCTGAAGGTCAACTTCTGTGGGATTTCAGGAGCCAGAGGAGATACACTGGACTATCTGAATTCTTTTTTTTTTTTTTTTTGTTTTTGTTTTTTTTGTTGTTGAGATAGAGTCTCGCTTTTGTCGCCCAGGCTGGAGTGCAGTGGCCGGATCTCAGCTCACCTCAAGCTCCGCCTCCCGGGTTTACGCCATTCTCCTGCCTCAGCCTCCCAAGTAGCTGGGACTACAGGCGCCCGCCACCTCGCCCGGCTAGTTTTTTGTATTTTTTAGTAGAGATGGGGTTTCACCATGTTAGCCAGGATGGCCTCCATCTCCTGACCTCGTGATCCGCCCGTCTCGGCCTCCCAAAGTGCTGGGATTACAGGCTTGAGCCACCGCGCCCGGCCGTATCTGAATTCTTGAGTTTTTCAATCTGTTTATACGATTAGACTATTCAGCCTCTGGTAGAGATATCTCTCTGTCTTGCCTTCCTTACTGAGGCCACCTGTAAGACAGAGAAGGAAAGGGACCAGTGCAGCTACAGTGGAGGAGCCTTTGCTTAGGCTGATTGAGAAAGTCACTGCCAGAGTGAGCATGCGCTGGATGGCAGAGGCTGGCTGCTTCTTGTAGTGTGCCTCACCTCTGTACAACATGTCTACTGATGAGAAAAGATACATCCAGCCAAACACAGAGGAGCTGGGAAGGCTCATCTCTGCTTTCTCCTCACATCTGTCTTAGTTTGACTCTTCATTTTGAAGCCAATAGAAGTTCAGTCAACCTTGGCCAAGAGGGAGTTTTATTTTCACAGGTGGTAGCTCATGCATAATAACCTTGAAACATGAGTGAAAACAAAAACAAGGGTCAAAACAGGTCTGGTCCTCATGGACACTGAAGGTGGAGAGTGGTTCTAGATTCAAAGCAGCTCTAGGAGCTAGTATGTAGTATCTGAGTTGGACCATCCTTTCGCTGCTCTCCCATTCATTTAGCCCCATTCTTCATGGCTACAACTATATGTCCTTTAACCAAATGACAATCTTTGTAGCCTTAATTTCTATCCTTCCGTTACTTAGAATCCATAGTGACTGTGACTATTTCTGGTGGTACATCTCAGTGTCTCATTTAATTAAGAAATAATAAAAATCATATGAAATGCCGAAAATTTCACTCTGCATTTTACGTCAAGTCAGTAGCAGCATTCAAATTGGAATTTTAAAATCCTCAGGAAAGCAAGCTGTGTAATTTCTTTGAAAGATCTTAGCAGAAAACATCGTGCCCTGCTGTCACCTAGAGCAGAAGCTGAGGCTCCTTCAAGGTGCTCTGTGGGCCCTGTGGCTTGGGGGTGAGGGCTTTGGTGGCCTGAGCAGCACATTCAGGGAATGCTTATCCAAAGCAGGTTAGCAGAGTTGCATTCCAGACTGCAGACCCTAGCTTAGTATTGAGGTGCTAGAGCCCAAGGCAGTTGCTGAGACCAGCTCGGTTGGGTAAACCCTAACCCAGTGGCGCTAGAGGAATTAAAGACACACACAGAGAAATATAGAGGTGTGAGGTGGGAAATCAGGGGTCTCACAGCCTTCAGAGCTGAAAGCCCCGAACAGAGATTTACCCACATATTTATTAACAGCCAACCAGTCATTAGCATTGTTTCTATAGATATTAAATTAAAGTATCCCTTATGGGAAATGAAGGGATGGGCTGCATTAAAGAAATAGGTTGGGCTAGTTAACTGCAGCTGGAACATACCCTTAAGGCATAAATCGCTCATGCCATTGTTTGTGGCTTAAGAATGCCTTTAACTGGTTTTCCACCCTGGGTGGGCCAGGTGTTCCTTGCCCTCATTCCCGTAAACCCACAACCTTCCAGCTTGGGCATTAGGGCCATTATGAACATGTCACAGTGCTGCGGAGATTTTGTTTATGGCCAGTTTGGGGCCAGTTCATGGCCAGATTTTGGGGGGCTTGCTCCCAATAGCCATCATGAAAGAAACACTCTATTAAGGGGACTAAAGAGGGAAGAAGGTTCATTGAACTTTGATGTATAAGAGGGGTGGTGCCAGCTCCCTGGAATGTCCTTCCTAACTGGGCTAATCCTGTGAACTCCCCATCCCTGATATGCCAGCATGCAGCCTCAGAACACCACACAGTTAATCCTAGATTTACAGTTCATACCATGTCAGGGAGCTACCCACCTCCCTTGAACCCCTACCATGTCTCAGATGATCTCAGATTGCTTCTGTAACATGGTTGTGCTAAAATAGATAATCTCTAAAATCTGTGTTATTTGTAGGTCAGTAATTCATTCATAATATTATCTAAACTAGGCACAGTGGCTTGCACCTGTCATCCCAGCTACTCAGGAGGCTGAGGCAGGAGAATGGCGTAAACCCGGGAGGCGGAACTTGCAGTGAGCTGAGATCAGGCCACTGCACTCCAGCCCGGTCGACAGAGTGAGACTCCGTCTCAAAAAAAAAAAATTATCTGAGGGATGGGTAAAAGTAAAATAAATTAAGTTTAACTGTCATTTAAGTTTGAGAGAATGTCAACAATAGATTTGTTCCTATTAAAAATATTTTGACCAGCCATGGTGATGTGTGCCTGTAGTCGCAGCTACACAGGGGGCTGAGGGACGAGGACTGCTTGAACCCAGGAGGTTGAGGATGCATTGAGCCATGATTGTGCCACTGAACTCCAGCCTGGGCACTGTTGGAAAAAAAAAAAATTGCCATAGCGTTTGGAAATAGCAGGGGCTTTGGATGTGAGCAGGCTTGGCCAAATCCAAGCTCTGTATTTCCTGGCTGTGTAACTTAACTTTTTTGATACTCTCTAAGCCTCAGTTTCTACTTCTGTGGAAGAAGGGGTAGGTGCAACCTGACATTCATGATTATGGCGGAGAGTGATAGAAATACTGAATTTAGGTCACCAGCTTTGTACTAAACGTTAGTAAACTCTTCAAGAAGTCATGTTGATAAGGATTTGGAACAAAGAATTATTGTACAATTTAAAAAGTATTGTTCAAGAGAATATTAATAAAATTGCTGTTATGTTTTATTTACAAACTGATGGTATGTAAACACAATAAAATGTTTTATAACTATGCAGATGTTGATAACCCTGTCTACTGAATACACTATACTTAGCAATATGACAATGATCATAATATTACAGTAGACTTTGAGGATCACGTAGATAACGTTGATATCACTTTTCAAATAGTTACATGCTTTAATACTCACAATATGAGCATTTAGGTCCTATCATTGTCTTCATTTTACAGAGGGTGAAGTTGACACAAGTTAACTTTCCAAAGATTACCCAGCTCTCAGGAGGTAGAACTAGTGTTGAACTCAGGTCTTTCTGATGTGTGCACCAACTTGCTGGTCCACTCTGCTATTCTCTCCAGTCTTCTCCTCAGGCAGTTAAATGACCTGATCTTGTGCTCCCCTAGAAACTCCATGTTCCCTATATCTCTTTCTTGTAGGTTAAGACCAGTAGATGTTGCTGCTGTGGAAAGAGATGCCTATGCAAGTGAGAAATGGGACAACTGTCCAGGAATTCACCAAGGTTGGGTCCCCTGCTGTCCAGCACCAGGGGAAGGTCCTCTGGTCCTTCAGCATTTTCTTCTTCTTTGAGTGTTGCTTCAGAAGTGCTGTTATTCCAAAGTTGCTGGTCATCTTTCTTTTAGTCAGGCAAACAATTTCCTTTGCTGCCTGTTCCATACAAGCCTTGGTTTTTGTGTTTCTGGGAGCAACAGACTTCCTCCTCATAGCTGTGATGTCTCTGGATCAGTGCCTGACCATTTGCAAGCCTCTGCATGACCCCACCATCATGAGCCTGAGGACTTGCTTCCTCCTGCTCACTGACTGCTTTGTCATGGATTTCACTCTCATCACTGGTCTTGTGGTGAAGGTTTCCCAGTTGTCTTTCTGTGGACCCCATGTCATCCCTCACTTCTTCTGTGACCTCGGCCCTCTGATCCAACTCTCCTGTTCTGACACCAGATCTATTGAGATGTTGGCCTTTGGCTTCATTTTGTTCATTCTTTTTACTCCCTCATTATAACCACCACTGCATATGGTAACATAGTAGACATAATTGTATGGCTCCCATCAGCCAAGGAGTGGCAGAAAGCTTTCTCCACCTGCTCCTCTCACCTCATTGTCCTCTCTCTAGTGTATGGCAGCTATGTCTTCATATATGTGAAGCCAAAGCAAATGGACAGATTGGACTCCAACAGAGAGGCTGCTCTTGTGAACATGGTGGTGACCCCGCTCCTGAACCTGCTCATCTCCACTGTGTGGAACAAGCACGTCCACCAGGACCTAAGGGAGACTATGTGCAGAATGAAGATACCATGATCTTTTAAAAAGTGCATTGCATGGCCTTGGAACAGAAGGCTTTAGAGAACCATATGTCTCCAGTCCAGTGGTGTGCAGTCAACAGAGTTTCCAGTGGAGAGTCTCTAGTGGAGCTCACTTAACCTCTCTGCACGTCTCCAGCAAGGTGGAAACCTCTGTTTTCTCAAGGTCACATTTGGCATGCATAACTATCTTCTCCCTCAGTATCCCATGTGTTGATAACAATCTATTTTAATTATAAAATCACTTACTGAATTTTTATTCTTCCTCCTGATAAAACCCATGTGCTTGAATTTATCAAAATATATTCATTTACACTCTTTTCATTTCACTTCATCTCTAGCCATTAAAAGGATTCAGCAGAATTAATTACTATTTATCAAAATGCACTTAATAATTACATGATGGAAGATTGTATATTGGGCCATATATACTATGGAAGGGGTATGTGTATCGGGGAGGAAGATATCAAACCACATTTGTGTGATTTCTTCCAAAAAATCAAGAAGATAGGATCTAAGTTATTTGCTTACCTACTTCCTATTGTTAATGAAAATAACATAAACAAATTAAGCATTTTTTTCTGGTGGACTTATGTTATCAACTACTTGGTTATTTTCTGATTGATAACCTATTTTAAAGATTACATTTCTTTATTATTTAATCCTTAACCATTATGCGCCTTTAGCTCCTATTTCCAGGTTAGAAATGCATCTGTTTTAACTTCAGAGGAAATACTTCCAAAAAGATTGATATCATTTTGTTGTTGTTGTTTTAATTTAAACTCTGAAGTTAGATAATCACAAATAAAAATTGTTTCCATATGCTGATATCTATTTCTACTTAATATTTTAATAGATATAAAGGAGATTTCCTAAGAATGGTATTTTTTATTTTAATTTTTTATTTCCATAGGTTTTGGGGGAACAGGTGGTGTTTTGTTACACAGATAGATTCTTAGTGGTGATTTCTCAGATTTTGAGGCACCCGCCTCACCCATGCAGTGTCCATTGTACCCAGTGTGTAGTCTTTTATCCCTCAACCCCTCTCACACTTTCCCCCAAGTACCCAAAGCCCATTGTGTCATTCTTATGCCTTTGTGTCCTCATAGCTTAGCTCCCACCTATGGGTGAGAACATACAATGTTTGGTTTTTCATTCCTGAGTTACTTCACTTAGAATAATGGTCTCCAATCACACCCAGGTGGCTGGGAATGCCATTATTTCATTAGCTTTTTATGGCTGAGTAGTATCCCATGGTATATATGTAACACATTTTTTTATTCACTTGCTGATTGATGGGCATTTGGGCAGATTCTATATTTTTGCAGTTACGAATTGTGTTGCTATCAACATGAACATGCAAGTGTGGTTTTCATACAATGACTTCTTTTTCTTTGGGTAGATACCCAGTAGTGGGATTGCTGGATCAAATGCTAGATGTACTTGTAGTTCTTTAAGGAATCTCCACACTGTTTTCCACAGTGGTTGTACTAATTTATATTTCCCCAGCAGTATAAAAATGTTTCTTTTTCACCACATCCACACCAGCATCTATTTTTTTATTTTTTATTTTTTTGGTTAGTGCCACTCTTGCAGGAGTAGGGTGGTTTTGATTTGCATTTCCCTGATCATTGGTGATGTCAAGCATTTTTCATATATTTGTTGTCCATTTGCATATCTTCTTTTGAGAATTGTCTATGTATGTCCTTAGCCCACTTTTTGATGAGATTGTTTGTTTGTTTTCTTGTTGATTTGATTGAGTTGCTTGTAGATTCTGGATATTAGTCTTTTGTTGGATACATAGTTTGTGAAGATTTTCTCCCACTCTGTGTGTTGTTTTTTTACTGATTATTTCTTTTGCTGTGTAGAAGCTTTTTAGTTTAAGTCCCATCTATTTATCTTTGTTTTTGTTGCATTTGCTTTCGGGTTCTTGCTCATGAAGTGTTTGCCTAAGCCAATGTCTCGAAGGGTTTTTCTGATGTTACCTTCTAGAATTTTTATGGTTTCAGATCTTAAATTTAAGTCTTTGATCCATCTTGAGTTGATATTTGTATAAGGTGAGAGATGAGGATCCAGTTTCATTCATCTACATGTAGCTTGCCAATTATCCCAGCACTGTTTGTTGAATAGGGTGTTCTTTCCCCACTTTATGTTTTTGTTTGTTTTGTAGACGATTAGTTGGCTGTAATTATTTGGCTTTATTTCTGTGTTCTCTATTCTGTTCCACTGGTCTATGTCCCTGTTTTTATACTAGTATCAAGCTGTTTGGGTGACTATGGCCTTATAGTATAGTTTGAAGTCAGGTAATCCAATGCCTCCAGATTTGTTCTTTTTGCTTAGTCTTGCTTTGACTATATGGGCTGTTTTTTGGTTCCATATGAATTTCAGGATTGCTTTTTCTAGTTCTGTGAAGGATGATGGTGGTATTGTGATGGGAATTGCATTGAATTTGTAGATTGCTTTTGGCAGTGTGGTCATTTTGGCAATATTAATTCTACCCATCCATGAGCATGGGATGTGTTTCCATCTGTTTGTGTCATCTATGATTTCTTTCAGCAGTGCTGTGTAGTTATCCTTGTAGAGGTTTTTCACCTCCTTGGTTAGGTATATTGCTAAGTATTTTATTTTTTTCACAACTACTGTAAAAGGAGTACAGATTTGCTTATCCGCCTGGTTGCTGTTGGTGTATAGCAATGCTACTGATCTGTGTACATTAATTTTATATTCTGAAACTTTACCAATTTCATTTATCAGTTCTCAAAGCTTTTTGGATAAGTCTTTAGCGTTTTCTAGATATACAATCATATCATCAGCAAGCAGCAACAGTTTAACTTCCTCTTTACCAATTTGAATGTCCTTTATTTCCTTCTCTTTTCTGATTGGTCTGACTAGGACTTCCAGTACAATGTTGAATAGAAATGGTGAGAGTGGGCATCCTTGTCTCGTTCTAGTTCTCAGGGGGAATGCTTTCAACTTTTCTCCATTCAGTATAATGTTGGTTGTGGGTTTGTCATAGATGGCTTTTATTACCAAAAGGTATGTCCCTTCTATGTCGATTTTGCTGAAGGTTTTAATTATGAAAGGATGCTGGGTTTTGTCAATTTTTTTTTCTGCATCTATTGAGATGATCATGCAATTTTTGTTTCTAATCTTGTTTATGTGGTGTATCACATTTATTGGCTTGCATATGTTAAGTCATCCCTGCATCCCTGGTATGAAACCCACTGGACCATGGTGTATTATTTTTTTGATATGCTGTTGGATTTTATTAGCTAGCATTTTGTTGATGATTTTTCCTCTATGTTCATCAAGGATATTGTCTGTAGTTTTCTTTTCTTGTTATGTCCCTTCTTGATTTTGGTATTAGGGTGATACTGGCTTCACAGAATGATTTAGGGAGAATTTCCTCTTTCTCTATCTTTTAGAATAGTGTCAATAGGATTGGTACCAATTCTTCTTTGAATATCTGATAGAACTCAGCTGCAAATCTCTCTGCTTCTGGGTTTTCTTTTTGTTGGCAATTTTTAAATTACCATTTAAATCTCGCTATTTGTTATTGGTCTGTTCAGAGTTTCTATTTCTTCCTGGTTTAATTTAGGGGTGTTTTATATTTCCAGGAATTTATCCATCTCCTCTAGGTTTTTTAGTTGGTGTACACAAAGGTGTTCATAGTAGCCTTGAGTGATCTTTTGTATTTCTGTGGTATCAATTGTAATATGTCATATAGCTTTTAATTGAGGTTATGTGGATATTCTCTCTTTTCTTGGTGAATCTTGCTAATGATCTATCAATTTTGTTTAATTTTTTCAGACAATCAGCTTTGTGTTTCATTTTTCTTTCATAAATTTTTTGTTTCAATTTCATTTAGTTCTGCTCTAATCTTTGTTATTTCTTTCCTTCTGCTGGGTTTGGGTTTCATTTGTTCTCATTTCTCTTGTTCCTTGAGGTGTGACCTTAGATTGTCTATTTGTGCTCTGTCAGACTTTTTGACCTAGGCATTCAATGCCATGAACTTTCCTCTTAGCACTACTTTTGCTGTACCCCAGAAGTTTTGGTAGGTTGTGTCACTATTACCATTCAGTTCAAAGAATTTTTTAGTTTCCATCTTGATTTCATTGTTGACCCAATGATCATTCAGGAGCAGGTTACTTAATTTCCATGTATTTGCATGGTTTTGAGGGTTTCCTTTGAAGTTGATTTCCAATTTTATTCCACTGCAGTCTGAAAGAGTACTTGATATAATTTCAACTTTCTTAAGTTTATTGAGACTTGTTTTGTGACCTATCACATGGTCTGTCTTGGAGAATGTTCCTTGTGCTGATGAATAGAATGTATAGTCTGCAGCTGTTGAGTAGAATATTCTATAAATATCTGTTAAGTTCATTTGATCTAGATTATAGTTTAAGTCCATTGTTTCTTTGTTTAATTCTGTCTTGATGACCTGTCTAGTGCTGTCAGTGGAGTATTGAAGTCCCCCACTATTATTGTATTGCTAATTTCTTAGGTCTAATAGTAACTGTTTAATAAATTTGGGAGCTCTGGTGTTAGGTGCACATATATTTTCCTGCTGGACTATTCACTATATAAGGTCCCTCTTTTTTGTTGTTGTTTGTTTTTTCATTTGTTTTTTGTTTTGTTTTTGAGCTGGAGTCTCACTTTGTCACCCAGGCTGGAATGTAGTGGCCCAGTGTCGGTTCACTACAACCTCTGCCTCCCGCGTTCAAGAGATTCTCCTGCCTCAGCCTTCCAAATAGCTGGGACTACAGGTGCGTGCCACCATTCCTGGCTAATTATTTGTATTTTTAGTAGAGACGGGGTTTCACTGAGTTAGCCAGGTCGGTCTCTATCTCCTGACTTCATGATCCACCCGCCTCGGCCTCTCAAAGTGCTGGGATTACAGGCGTGAGTCACTGCCCAGTCTCTTTGTTGTTTTCAATTGTTGCTTTTTTGTATGTGATATAAGAATAGCTACTATTGCTTGCTTTTGGTGTGCATTTG